GGCTGGCCTGAAACTTGCTATGTAGACCAGGCTGGCCTCAAACTCAGAGATCCGCCTGCCTCTGCCTCCTGAGTGCTGGGATTAAAGGCATGTGCCACCATGCCCGGTGTCCGGCCATTTTTTTTTTTTTTTAATTACATTTACTTCCAGGCACGGTAATGCATACCTTTAATCCCAGCACTTGGGAGGCAGAGCTCTGTGAGTTTGAGATCAGTCTGGTCTACATAGCAGGTTCTGAGTCAGTTAAGAGACCCTGTTTCAAGAAAAAAAAAAAAAAAATGAGGGCATGGGGACACATATGCCTTTAATCCCAAATACTCTAGAGGCAGAGGTAGGGCATTTCTGTGAGATCAAGGCCAGCCTGGTCTACATAGTCAGTTCCAGGTCAGCTGGGGCTACAGGGAAACATTGTCTCAGCAAACAAAGCAGGATATATTTACATATTTGCTGTGCATGGAGGTTAGAGGACAATTTTGGAAGGTTGGTTCTCTCCAACCATGAGAGTCTGGGGATCCGAGGATTAAATTTAGGCTTGAAAATTGAATCAGATTCAGACTTGGTGGTAAATACCTTGAGCCATCTTGCCCACCCAATGCTCTCTTTATAGGCATTCAGGCCCTCCCTTATCTACTAGTTGTGTATGTCTCTTAGTGGGTGACTAACCTAACATGCCTCAGTTTCAATATCGAGAGTAATAGCAACCTAGGCACAAAGTTGCTGTGAAAATTGCATGCAAAGCTGGGCCTGGTGAATCACACCTGTAATCCCAGCACTGAGATAATGTGGAGAGAGGGAGCTTAAACACAGTGAGTTCATAAATGGACTAGCCACCATTGCTATTATTCTAATTGGAAGTACTCAGACTCTCCTTGAACCAGCTTCACTTCACACACACAGCTTTACCAAGGACTTCTCCGATCATGAACACCAGGCAGATGGCAGAGGCCACATAGAGCTTGCGTCGGGCCCCTTGCCTCTTGAGATCAGGGTGACTGTCCTGGGCATGACAGTGATGGTCAGTAGAAGCAGCCAGCTCCACTACTTGCAGGTCCACCTGAGGGATCCAGCCATCTTCACTTCGCCACAGAGATCCTAAGTATGATCTGGCCAGGGAGGAAGGAGAGGAAACAGTCAGGTGGAAACACCCAGCCTGTCTCTGTACAAAGAACAGCTAGGAACACTCCAAGCTCAGCAGTGCCTGGTGGGTGCTGGGAGGTAAGAAGTCAAAGTTGCAGGGGATGTTGAAAAAATGAGTCTTGCAACCTTGCCTAGAGGTGGAGAGACTTTGGGAACTGGTCAAGGGGCAGACTGTGCAGTAGAGCGCGGAGAAAGCATTACTGAGACTCAGACGTCAGCACAGAATGCAGCCCAGGGCACCTGGGTGCACAGGGCCTCTCCACCGCTGGGCTGCTTGGGGTCAAAGTGCAGGACTGAAGACTCAAGGCATCCGACTGTGTCCCACTCCCCCACTCTCGCTGGCAGGGATCAGGATCAGAATGCTTAGCAGGGAAGGGACAGGTGATCATCGGGACCACAGTCAATTTCCTCTTTCCCGGGCCTCACCCCATCGCGCTGGCGGGATCCCAAATCAAGCCTCCTCCATCCTGGCCAATGCGGAGTTGCACGTGATGCCGCCCGGTTTTCCCAGCCCTCCCTCTGGGGCATGGACTTACGTGGCTCTGCGCGTGGAGTTCAACAGGTGCCGCTTCTCCATGGTCCACTCTCGGCCGCGCACCGCCGTGTGCGCCCTGGTAAGCTGCACGCGGGACGCGAGAGGCGCGATCACCCTCTGTGCGCCCCGAAGCCGGATAGTTCCCGCTGCGCCCCGCGCCCGCCGGCTTTATCCCTGCCCCTCTCCACCCGGTGTGAAGAGCTTCGCAGCGCGTCGTGTGCAAAAGCCCGCGGGGAGGGGGAAGGGTGGCCGGCTGCAAAAGGGAATCGAGGCTCTGCCCCCAACACCGGTCCCCTGAGTTGGGGTAGCAGAGCCGCCAAAAGCATAACGGCCTTTGTCCTCAACTAAAGCACCTGCGGAGAGCTACTGGGTGTTGCTAAGTTAGGCGGCTGGACCCACTCTTTACCGCGCCGGTGGCTCACGAAAATGTCCTGAGGCTGGTGGATTTGAGTTCAAGGCCAGCCTGACCTATATTAGTGAGTTTCAGTCCAGCCTGGGCTACATAGTGAGACCCTGTTTCGAAAGAAAACTCTTGGGATCTTGGTTTCTAGAAATTCACTTGGTCGCCCTGCGGGCAGGGGTGTGACTCCTACAGGAGAGAGAACACCCCTACAAGATTCCCCTTTCTCCAAGACAGACGCGCAGTGGACTGGTGCTCTTGCCCTGGCTGCCTCCCTCTGGGGGGCGTGCCCTCCACAGTACTTTTAGGTGGACAGACTCAAGGTGCTCATTGATGAGGCGCCAGATCTTCTTCCGAGGGCATTCTGGATAGAATCTGGAGTGGCCGGGTTTATGTGTATTTCTAGGAAGATGTCATCAGGGACGATCGAACACACTGCAGCAAAGTGCCCCCAATGCTGGTCCCTGATATGTATCCTTTATTTGTTTGTTTTTTTGTTTGTTTGTTTATTTGAGACAGGGTCTCTTTGTATAACTCTCCTACTGCCTGGAAATGTCTATGTAGATGAGGCTGGCCTCTAACTGCCTCTGCCTTCCAAGTCCCAGGATTAAAGGCATGCGCTACCACTCATGGCATGTATCCTTTATTTAGTTAGACACAACTTCTAGATGGGGCAAGGTGGTGCTCCGCTTTAATCCCAGCAGAGGCAGAGGCTGGCAGATCTCTGAGTTCTAGCCCCTCTGAATTCTCTCCAGGTCAGCTGGGACTACAGGGAGACCCTGTCTCAAAACAAAACAAAAACCAAAAAGAAAGAAGGAAGGGAGGGAGGGAGGGAAAGAAAGGAAAAAAAAGAAAGAATGTCTCATTGGTGACCGCCCTACTCAGTCACTCCAGCCTAAGGTCTTCAGGACCATATCTTGAATTTTTCGGTCCTTCACAGAAACCAGAATCCAGAGTTACGGCTGTAGCTTAGTGGTAGACTTCTCATGTGAAAAACTGTGGGTTCTATCCTCGGTCAGGAGGTGGGAAGAGAAGAGAGAGAGGGGTCTCTATGGCTAGGTGGTCTGGGTTACATAGGTCCTGTTTAAAAACAGAAAAGGCAGTGAGTGTTGGGAATGCTCCTCAGTTGGCAGGGCACTTGCCTAGCATGCAGCCCTGGACCAGCACCACATGCACGGGGAGTGGTGGTCTAGGCTTGAAATCCCAACTCTCTGGAGGTAGAAAACCAGGAGGATCAGATGTTCAATTTCATACAGGAGGCATGTAGCCTCAGTCTCAAAACACAAAACAAAACAACCCAAAGCCCTTTCTGTTGGAGGAGTGGGTAATAATACAGAAGAAACAAGTGTATGGGGCCAGTGGCCCAGGCCTGAAATTCAGCTGCTTGGGGGACAGAGGCAGATGGACCCTCTTCTCCTGGGGCTCTGATGACCTGTTTGTCTTCTTGTAGGTTCCACTTTTGGCTGGCTTAGCAGGCAGGTGCAAACATACTAGGTAGGGACAGGGAGGGATTTCAGTCTGTCACCCTGAAGGAGTCATATTGTTGGAGACGAAACACAAGGAATAAGGGTGGCCATGCATACCTGCCTTGCTTGGGTCCCCAACTGTGTACCTTTCTAGCCCCTCTGAATTCTCTGAAGGTGTAAAATCTCAGACTACTTGCCTCTGTAAGTGCATGTGCATGCGTGTGTGCATGTGTTGGGTGTCAACCATGGCCTTTAGCTTACTGAGCTGTTTTTATTTATTTATTTATTTATTATTTATTTATTTATTTATTTATTTATTTTTGAGTCAGGGTCTCCCTGTAGCCCCAGCTGGCCTTGAACTCCCTATGTAGACCAGGTTGGCCTTGAACTCACAGAGATCTGCCTGCCTCTGCCTCCCAAGTGCTGGGACTAAAGCATGTGCCACCACGCCCGGCTTGAGCAGTCCTATCACTAAGCTATAATATACTCATCCCAAATTCCTGGTTTCTTTAAGGTGTAATCTAAGGGCCAGCAGAGTCAGCATTACCTAGAGAAGGTATTGGAGAAAACATTAAAGTGAGGTCACAGGTCCCTGCATCAGACCAACTGAAGCAGAATCTCTGGGTATGAGAAAGCCCTCACTGCAAATGTGACATAGAAGCCCCAACTGTTTGAACAACTGGGCCATTTTCTGAATTACATTTTATTCTCTGTGTGTGTGTGTGTGTGTGTGTGTGTGTGTATGTGTGTGTGTGTATGTGCATGTGCCATGGTACGTATGTGGGGGTCAGAAATTTGGGGTAGTTGGTTCTCTCCTTCTACCATGTGGGTTCTGGGGATCGAACTCAGATCCTCAGGCTTACCAGCAGGTGTTTTTACCCACTGAGTCATCGCACAGGCCCCAGCAGGACCATTTGAACTACTGAGATTTCTCTGCCATGGTCCACTTCCTCCCTTGGAAGTCTATCATTCCTAAATACATTCTCTAATGTTGCTTGCTGCTGCCCATGTGTCTCTGTCCAATTCCTTGTTCCAGAGGTGCCCACCAAGCCCTGATAGCCAATCCTCCCTCCAGAGGTGCCCACCAAGCCCTGATATCCACCTATATCCCAGGTCACCTGTTCTCCTCACTAGATTATAAACTGAGAGCAGACATGAATTTGCTATTTGTATTTTAGCACCGAGCACCCACTTAAAACATCCATGAGTCAGACTGAAACAGTAGCAGGAGAGTCTGGTGTGGTGGCACACACCTGTAATCCCAGCTACTCAGGAGGCTGGGGCAGGAGAATCACAAGTTTGAGACCAGCCTGGTCCCAATTTAGTGGAACCCTGTTTCAAAATAGAAAAAGCCTGGATGTTAGCTCAGTGGTAGAATATTTTTCCATTATGTACAATGCCTTGAGTTCAATCCCTGGTCTTATATATATAAACTGGATGAGAGGGAGGCAGGGCTATTCACTGGAATTTCTGTAGGCTGATCAGATTTCTGTCCTATTACCTATTTGAGGTAAAAAACATTTGTGAAAGTATGTTGATAACTCTCCTTTTCTCTTGAATGCAAAACAAATTCTCAATATATTCAGATTTATAAATTGTATGCTGCTACATTTTTTACAAGTGTATTTGTTTTAAATCAATATTTACTATGCCGCATGTGCTATTACAATATATGTAATTTAGTTTGTTTTATTTGAAACGGGATCACCCTATGTAGCCCAGACAGGGCTTGAATATGGGATTCTCTTGCCTCAGCCTCTCAGATGATGAATTGAAGACTAGGGTCTCCCTACTCAATTAATTCCTACACAAGGCAGGCCATAGAAATTTGAATTTCTGTTTCCTAAGGCAGATCATAGACTGTTTTTGTTTTGCTTTGTTTTTGAGCCTGGGTCTAAAGTAACCTAGTCTGACCTAGTAGCTGAGGATAACCTTGAACTACAGATCCCCTCCAGTCTTTCCCTCCCTAGGGTGGGCCATAGAAATTCTAATTTTCCTCGCCTTCCAGTCTTTGAGCAGGTCATCAAAAAATTCTGTGTCTGCCACCATTAGACGCAGCACTCTAGAGGTACAGGCATGCGGATCTCTGTGAGTTCAAGGCCAGTCTGGTCTACATAGCACTAGGGAGGCAGAGGCAGGTGGATCTTTGTGAGATTGAGGACAGCCTGGTCTACATAGTGAATTGAAGGCCAGCTGGGACTGCAGGGAGACCCTGTCTCAAAAAGACAAAAAAACAGCTCTCTGATTTGACCATCCTTATTCCTGAAGGGTCTGAGTTGAAGGAATGCTATGATTGAGCTTCAGAAGGGAAGTGAACAGACAGGCTCTGCTGGGTTTTCCCCACCCTAGCTATTAACATCAGGTCTCACCCTTTTCATCCAATCACATTTCTATAGTGT